GACTAAAATAAGGAAGCTGCTCCGCTTGACTTACCAGCGATAGAGTTTCAAATACGGCTGATGAAATTTGGATTCTTTCAACAGTCTTAATAGGGACACGTCAAAATCTGTCATTCTTTTCCGCCCAATGCAGTTATGTTGTTTTATATAAATGCATTTTAAATACTACAACAGCATAACTTTGGGGGCGATATGTGCATAATGACCTGTTATGGATCAAGAAGCAAAGAGACATTCGTACTGCGACGCGTAAAAAGAATTGAAATTTGTCTCCCTTCTCATAAGTCGTCACTAAAGCGCTTTGCAAGCTTTGAAGTTGTTTAATAGGTCTGCATATACAAAGATATTTATCCATCAAAGGATATTCTTCAATTCTTTTTCTATAGGCATGATTGTTACATACGTCAGTAAAAGATGACGCCTGTCGACCGTATCGTTGTCGCAAGTACGATTGGATCATGGTTGTTTTATGCTTCCTATTTCAGACAAAGTCAATTATCAGCTGTTTTTGTAGAAATTACTATCCGTAAGGTTATCAGTGAATTATCTGCTTGAGAAACGTTGTCTTTGTCGTGGTTGTCGCTCTTCTCGAAAGTAAACTGTTCGTAGAGGTTTTCTGCGTAACGAGGTATTGGCCGTGGTTTAAAATAAGTAGACTCTCGTGTACATTGTATCTTAAAGTAATTTACTGACAATGAGATTCCCCTGTTTGAGTTTTTGCGCTGTTTATAGCTTCCCAAGAACATAACTATATTCTATATGTGGCTGATAGTATACGTATTCACATCGCACCTCTATTGTGCTGTGTCTTTCCTGGGTTATCAGGCAGGCGGGAGTGGAAAGAGTGTTTCTGAGAGACACTCGGCGTTGAAAGTTTTGGTTTCCCATGTTCAATTCTCGCGTTGTCCCTTGATCGCCTCCTAATGACATTTATTTCTTGTTCATTTCGTCTCTCAACGCAAGATTAACTGCTGTTGAAGCTCTTTCGATCTGAGTTTGGGCATATGGTACCTTATAAAGAGCAGCGAATCGACCGGTACTATTGATCTAGTAGAACCTTCAACGATTTGGTCCGTGTTAAACGAAGCTGCACTTGAAGAAGTTCTCTTCAATGACATTTTCTCTTACTGTCATAGACTTAAGGGCCCTGCAGTGTTGTTGTAATTACTTTGTTTGTTCGCTGTTAGTCATAGGGGAAGTGTTGTCAGTTTTGGCCTATCTGGAATGTATAACTACTAGGACAAGTTTTTAGTATTCGCGATCGATGGTTGGTTTTTTTCGCGATAAACGATCGATGGTTCAAAACTTAATTTAGGCCAGTGACCAGCCCTTCGGCCCCAAGCATATTTGCGTTCAAGTGACAGTTGCGAAAATCTGTTGCAGGCAATGCGGTTCGCGTTTGATGCATAACTGCCCGCTGTGCTTCCAGTTATTCGCGATATATGTATTAACTGAGTCCAGTTAGGGTTCTTGTGTTGTACAGGCGGATCTTACACTACTGATTCTTATAGTATTATACACATAAACGTTTTATTTCTTTTCGGATTCTTACGATTTGTAAGCTTTAACCAGAGTTACAGGTCCAGTTTCGTCACCTGTGCCAAGTAAGATCAAAGAAGCGAAGTTAAGACTTTACCTTAGCCTCTTGGGAGAACGTAGAGGATAGAAGTGGTTTTGATGATTTATGCAATGTTGTGATTAGTATTTTTCGGTTACATGGAATTTTCTTAAAAAATTTTGTCATAAGATTCCCAAAAGAAAAATATCTTAAATAGCGCTAGATTACGCGAAATTCTATTTTAAACCAAAGATTGACTAATTTTAAAGGAATGTTCCTCTAATCTCGAGCGCTTCAATACCACGTATAATATGATATGTTTGAATCCACACATTTGTAGTTGTTTGTATCCTCTTTTCCTAGCCTTTTTAGCAGTTTTATTTGCCATATTAAACTGCATGTTTAATGACAGTCAAAAACAGTTTATATCCTTCATAAAACTGGCCTTATGGTTTAAAAGTTTCCTATTGATATTTTTTCTCTAATTTTGTATGCAAAGTATAGTGGTTATTTTTCATCGTTTTCTGGGACTAACAGAGGTTTTAACAGTAGAGTAATCCAGATTTGATGTGATCTCTGATCTTGGAAGTGATGACTAAAATTGATGTTAGATAGCTTTAACTGTTGCATCGGACATCACCTGCAGTGTTGCATCACCAGCGAGGAAGTTTTTGATATTATTTCCGCCCCTTTTGAAACTGTTTTATCGAACCAAGCCGTGCGCCGATCTTTGAATTTATCTGATGATTTTCTCTGTTTTGAAAGTGTCCAGATCATCGCGAATAAGCGTACTTTCAGAATGGTGATCTTCTTATCAGCTCTCGGTGGTCGTCTTCTTCCACAAGTCGATCCCAGTCCAGTACTACAGTGTAGTTCATGATCGACGTTGCGGTCATTCGCCATTAGGTCAAGTCCCAGTCAGTGGCCGAAACCTTGTGTGTGAAGCACATGTAAGGGGTTACATGAATATCGTGGGGAAGACGCGTTTTCACCATAATTTAAAAGTTCAAGTTCATCATCAACGTTCGTATAAATATCAACTTTATGCTATATATAGGCTTTTCTATAT